AAACTTACCCCGGACCCTTCCAAATCCCCCCTTAATCCCCCAATACCCCCCGAACCCCCTAAACCCCCCAACTTAAAACCCTTAGGACCCCCCCAATTTACCCCCCCGGGAATTCCCCCCAAACCCCGTTACCCCTTTTAAACCGTCCCCGTAGACCCCGTTTTCGAACTCCACCCTTTACGAACCTCCAACCCGGTCACCCCCGTTTTCCCACCTTTTACCCCCTAATTAAACCCGCCCCCTAAAAAGACCCCCCCCCCCCCCCAAACGCCCCTTACTTCCAATTTCCACCCACCACCGCCCGACCCTCCCTGTAAACCCCACCTTTCCTTTACCTCCCCCTAAAACTCCCTTACCTCCTCAAACCACCCCTTCCAAAACCCCCTAGCCCTACCCGGCCACCCCCTAAATCCCCGTCCCTAACCCCGACTGGGCCCTTCCAACGGGTCATCCGAAGACCCCTTTGCCCTAGCCCTTTTCACTTGGGCCGTTTCCTTTTCGGGGTTTTTGTCCCTTTTAATGGATTTTTCCAAAGGCCCGAGACCGTTATGTAAGAAATTCCTGGTTCCCAGCCTTTCATTCTATTTCAGTGCACTGGCCCTTCTCCGGTCATCTTTGGCTTTTCTCCGGCTAGTTATGGCCATTCGAGTCAGATCTTTGACTCTCCTTGTTAGATCGGTAGCTTTCAAGGACTTTCTCCTTGCTTTGGTTCTCTGAACCCTAATCTCTAAGGTTCTTTCGATTTCTTTCAGACCTGCTTCATACCTATGCTTGCTTTGAACTTCTAAGCATTTTCTCGAAGTTCCTTTAAAACTTTGCTTTCAAAACTCTGTATCTTTTTCGATTAGGGTTTTCCTGTTAAGTATTTCAAATCTCTTCTCTGATTTTTTTGACATGTCTTGCTATGTTTGCTCGTATTGTTCTTCAATCTGAGTTCGCGTGATAAAAGCCCTAATTTCTTTTGGCTGTTTGTTAGACGAATGCTTGTGTAGTTGAGTTTTTTTTGATTTGTTTGTCTATCATCTTTTAAACACTACTATTATTGAAAACCCTATGTCTTTGGGTCTGAAACGGTTCGTTTAAATACTTGACTCGATTTGAAGTTCTTTGTTTCAGAATCTCTTTTTCCTTTATGTGATTCCTCTGATTCTGGGTTTCTATTATCTTCAAAACTTGACTATGATTGAAACCCTAATTTTTTTCAAAGAGGTTTCCTTACTTGCTGCTGTGANTTAAGTGAAGACCGCATAAGCGGATTTTTGGCCGCAGAAGCGGGACCGCATAAGCGAAAAGCGCTTTTGGCAGAAAGGTTTAAAGGGTTTATTTCATCCGCGAGCTCCACCATTTTTCCTCCATTGTTGAGCGAGCTTGGGAGCTATTGACGCAATTTTGAGAGGGTTTTGACTGGGAATCAATTGGAGGTAAGTCCTATGGTCTAGAAACATCATTTTTATTGAAGAATCTACCTTTAATTCTTAGAAACTTGGGTAAAAATTGGAAGAACTAGGGCTTGGTTTTGGAATGTAAAATGGGAACTTGAAGAGGCATTTGA